AAGCCCTTTATCATATACTTTTGCCGAGGGTAGCCTGATTTAACCGGTTTTTCAAAGTGTTTGAAGGATTTTAATTTATGGCGGAAGTCGGACGTCTCCGAGCCGCATTATTTCGGCCGTAGCCTTTTTATATGACCGTAGTCTTTAATATGGCCGTAGCCTTTAATATAGCCGTAGCCTTCGGGTATGTCTCTCGGACTTGTTTCCTGATAACCTTTCGAACTTGTTCGAAAGGTTAGTCCCCGAGTATGATGGCCTTGGCCTTTTTATATCGAGGGGATGCCTTTTTGAGGTCTTATGGGTTCGAGTTTTCGATGACTCGGATGTGTTGACTGTTGATGACAGTCCCCGAGTATTCGGGGTGCATTTGCATTCTGGCTCTGGAGCCGTTTGTCGTAGGATTATAAGTATGAAGCTCGTATAGTAGTAGACTACTTTGAGACACAAAGTGTTTTGATATAGAAAGAATGCTTCTTTGAATAATTGATACATGCGTACATGTTTTTCCCGTCGGGGCTCGACTATTCTACATGGACACGATTTATCTGACCATTTGGCCCATTACAAAGTTCTCCTATCGAGGCCCTCTTTGGTGTGAAGTATTATCCTCAAAAATATGACCTCTGAGGGTGATGCCTCCTAGTATTCGAGGTTGATTGAAAAGAAGCCTTGGATACTGTTGAGTTCTCCTTAGGTAGCACATAGTTGTTGCCTCATTAAAAACCTCGCCGGTACATTTGGGACAAAATCCGATCTAAGGGAACTCCCTTAACATCTCGTCGTTCCTCTGTTTTATCTTAAAAATGTTCGATTTCCTCGTTGCCACCTTTATGGCCCCGGCGTGTGCTTTCACAAAGGCGTCTGCTAACATAGCAAACGAATCGATAGAGTTCGGAACCAAGTTGTGGTACCAAATCATGGCCCCTTTCGACAAAGTTACCCCAAATTTTTTCAACAATACTGACCCAATCTCATCATCATTCAGGTCGTTTCCTTTAATCCCGCAAGTATATGAGGTAATATGTTCATTAGGGTCGGTTGTCCCGTTATATTTGGGTATATCGGGCATGCGAAACTTTTTAAGAATGGGCATCAGATCCGCGCTCTTAGGGAATGGTTTTTGTATGAACTTTTTGGCATCCAAACCTTTCAAGATCGGGGGTGCTCTCGGTGTTTGGTCAACACGGGAGTTATAAGTTTCCACCTTTTTGTCATTGTCTTCAATCTTCTTTTCCCTGGACTCGATCCTCTTGGTGATCTCTTCGAGCATTCTCATAATGGTGGGGTCAGTCCCCGAGCCATTTTTGTTTGACCTCTCTGGCGCCGGTTCAGCACGTCGAGTGTTTTCTGGTTCGGCTATACTCAGAGTTTTATTCTGACTCTAAAGTTGAGCGATGGCAATCTGCTGAGCTTGCAGCATCTCGAATATCACTTGGAGGCTGACTCCCCCATCTCTTATACCTTGTGTTCCTTGGCCCCCAGATCGGGCTTCCCTGCGTACACTTCCTCCGGGGTCTGCGCCTAAATCTGCATTCAAAGCAATGTGCAAATTAACATCAACTGCTTCCACATTTGGCACTTTCCCAGGGTTTATCGGTGGTACACAGACCCCTACATTGTTGTTTTCCCCATGAGATCCAAGACCTTCGTTGTCGTGAACAGGTGCATTTTGCGGGTTTGACATGTTTAATCCTAAGAACAAAAAAATCTTGACAAGAACAAGTGTGAAAATAACGTGTGTTATCAGAATCAGTACTGAAATAATCACTATTATCTTTAGCCCCACGGTAGGCGCCAAACTGTTTACCTCGAAAATACGAGTAACAATTAAATTTGATTTGTGATTTTAAAGATATGTGATTTACTTCAATACTAATTAGTAATCAAGAGAAGTATAACGTATAAATGAAAGAAATGAGTGAATCAAACCAGTGTTACTAGGTAATATCGACCTCGAGCCTAGTGACCTCGAGATGAATCAAGAACGATAAAGCAAGAATAATAAAGCTAAAGGACAATTCCGGTGAACAATGAGCGAGAACGTAAGAGAGTATGTTCTTTGTCAATGATTAGATGATGTTTGCAAATGATTGGGGTCCCCTTTATATAATAGGGGAACCCTAAATAAGGTACATTTCCATCTACAGTAAGGAATCTTATTGGAACAGTTGTCTAACCGCCTAGTACAGATTCATACAAATCTGTTCCGCGATTTACGCCATGATCTTAGGGACGTGGCAGGAATCTTGCTCATTCTGTTATAAATCCATAACGGCATTATTCGGGGTTGAGCATACTCGGCTTCGATACTCATCGTACTTCGATCCTCGGGCATTGCACTCTGTCTTCGAGCTCGAGTCTGGTCCATCGAGCCCGAACTCAGCCTTGCCTGAACTCGGGCTTAAGACTACCCTCGAGCCCGGAAAATCGGGCATACCTGATTTCGACCGTATACGGTCAAAATTCTGCTTTTTGGTGTATGTACTTGGCGCCCCGACAAGCAGATCGGTTTCTGAATCTTTTACCATTTTTGGATTGTTTGGAGTTGCGCATGATTTTCTGTCCCTAATAAGGTTTCTCCTTTTCCTAGTACCTAGTGCACTTATACTTGATAGTATGATTTAGTGCAGTTTTTGTTCCCCTTGATAAGACATCACTGTCATCCCACTTTCATAAAGAATCATCGGAGAGAAGAAAATACGAGGGGCAAATTATGCTAATTTATGATAAATTGAGATAAGAATATATATACAGATTAACCGTGGCTAAATGATATATACTTAAGACATCAAGTGGGGGTTAAGCTTCGTTGTGGTGCTTTTATTGCTTAGTTGGTGATTAATAAAATGATCAATTACCAAAAAAATGATACTTGGTAAATAGGAGCATATGAAAAACACATGTCGTACACTCATTGTTTTGGTGCATGGATTGGATCCTAATATAGTAAGTATTTTCTTCGTAATGTTTGTAGGTAATGCTGGCACAGGGATGATGCCAGCTCTATCTTGGAACTTTCCAAAAATATAGAAACCTTACACAAAAAAAGGGTGTGGG